CCGTAAAGTATTTCTTCGCAAGGTTAGCTTAGCCTATGAGCTCTTCCATCTCAGTGTACTTATACTCCATTTATTGCTCTCATTTCTTCGCAGCCGTTCTGCTCTTCTCAGCTCTATTAGAACTTTTGCGGCCAGGTCTTTTACGGCGAGCCACACCTGCTCAAACCGCAGCATATGTGGTACTAAGTTATCCGGTGATACGGCTTCTGCTATCTGTTGTTCTAGCAAGGTCCTAACCACATTATATTTCGGGCAATAGAAAAAGATGTGCAGAGCATTATTACTATTACCACAAAAGGAACACGTCACTCCGTTATCATGGCCATACTTGTACAAGTACTCTCTAAAGCAGCCATGGCCAGTTAATAATTGCGTCATATAAAAGTCCGTTTGTCCGTGCTTTCTATCCACTCAGGTTTTCACATTTTTGATAAGCCGTTGCGTCAAGTGCCATTATATCTGGTGGCATTATACCGGAGATAATGCTAACAGCTTCTTGCGATACTGTGCGGAATGCACTGGCTACTCTGATGTCGCTTAGTCTGAATATTGAAATCACCATTTTGGCATATATTTTATGGGTCAGCGCTTGTGCCCATACAGGTGCCGCGTACAACATAACTGATTGGCGGGCTTTTGCTAAAAGTAACCTTCTTGCTTGATTTGGTCCACCTATGTTAGCCATAATTCGCGCTAGTGCCGAAATCACTCGGGCAGCTTTTCGCAGGTTTTTTCAATATGCATCTTGTATTTGAGTCTCGTATCGATTATGACACCCAGGTACTTTAGAGATGGCTGAGTTCTAATTTCATGCCCGTCAATGTTCAGAGTAATGGTCTCTAGTTTTTTTCTGCTCGAGATCAGGACTGTGCCTTCTGCCCCGCCAGCTGAAGTTTCGACGCGTCGAGCCAGTTTTTAATTTTCTGAGACGTAGCTACACAAACGCTTTGGATTTGGTGCAGCTCTTTTGCCACTATTGCCACAGCAATGTCATCATATCCAAATATTTTCGCTTCTTTTGGTAGCGGGAGGCGCAGTATTCCATCGTATAAGATATTCCATTCCGCAATAAATATACCGGAGTTTTAAGGTTCTCTAAGGCTCGTATTATGTGAGGCCAGTATGCTGAATTAAACGCATTTTTCAAGTCGAAAGTGAAGCGCAGCATTCTTTTGTGCTATGTATCCACCTAGTACCTTCAATTGCTTTATCTGCTATTCCGGTCAGTTTCTTGATTGCGTCGATAGTCGAGCGCTTCCTGCGAAACCCGTATTGGTTGCTAGATAGACCATCTTCAACTTCTTCCAGGTGTGCTTCAAGACGTTCACAAATCAATCGCTCCAGACTTTTCCCAATTGTGTCTATCATGCACAGTAGTCGATATGCACTAGCATCCCCAACTGTTTTGTTTGGCTTCTGTAATAAGACCAAACGTTGTTTTTTCCATATTTTTGGGAAAATACCATCGGTTAAGCACTTCGTATATAGCTGGGTGAAGCATTTTGGGTTTTGCTTTAGTGCGATCTTCAGAGCACGATTTGGGATGCCATCCAGCCTCGGTGCTTTAGCATTGCCGAAAAGTGCAGCAGCATTTATAACCTCCATATCGGTAACTACTGGTATAACTATGTGGCCTGATTCTTCGGGGAGAAACCGCTCTTCTTCTCGCGTGGGCTGTGTTGGAAAGAGTGTTTCCACAACACTTTTCAGAAGGGCTGGGCAGGTTGGCGCTTTTCCTTAAGTACCTCGAACTTTAGACATGACCAGCTTGTACGCACCGCCCCAGGGATTTTCATCGAGTTTGTTACATAACTCTTTGAAACACGCAGCTTTGCTATTTTTAATAGCTTTTTTCAGTTGCTTGCGTTTGGCCTTGAAGTTTTCACGTAAACCATCTTGACCTGCCGTGCCTGTACTTCTCTGGTACTGTCGCCTCGCTTTATTACAATCTGTTCGCAATTGTTGGATCTCACTATTCCACCAGTATGCTGGCTTTCGTTTGGGGTGTTGCTTTCTTCGAATCATGGCGGCGTCACAGGCTCTGCAGATATGTTGAACAAGCAACTTACCCTGTTCGTTGGTGTCTTCTGATTCGGGTATGTCTTCATTCAATACGAGTTTGAATAAATCTTCATCGATTGTGTTTTCTTTCACCCTTTAGCTTGTACCTTTTTTACACGCGCACCTCTTCTTTGTCTTACGGAGCAGTTGCTTACATATATTATAATTACGAAATGGTCACTGTGTGTGTACGTGTCACACACCTGCCACTCTGTCGTTTGAGCCAGAGATTTACTGGCAAACGTTATGTCAATAAAAGAACCACGACCATTTTTTTCGAATGTGTTCCTATAGCCTGTGTTTAGCAGGACAATATCAAGTAGCCCGAAGGTTTTAAGTAACTTATGCCCTCGCTGGTTTGTGCTTCTGCTTCCCCATTCTAAGGCCCATGCATTGAAGTCTCCTGCTATTATGTTTGGTTTGGTTGCGTGGGCATCCCCAACCAACTCATCGAGAACCTTTTCGAAGACCGACTGTGGAAGGCTTGGTGGCAAGTAACAACTGTAAAAGTGTATTCCGCCGATTTTTACTCTCGTGTAGAAGGGCTTATGTGTCAGTGGTTTGTCCTGCATCATTTTTATCACCGCAGGTCCAGATTGCTGCTTTTTTGGTGATATCAGAAATCCACGTATCAGAGCTCAGGTTTTTGTATTGCTCGTATTCTATTACAACATCGACGTTCATTTGATCTCCGGCTCCCAATTTGATGATTCGTATTCGCTCTTCCTTTGCTTTTACACAAGGCACAGAGTGGCTCTTTACGACAGTCCTTCGCATAGTGTCCAGTTTCTCCGCATTTCATGCAACATTTACTCCTGTCGTCAGGATTCGTGTACGTTTTTGCGACATGCCCGAATTCAAAGCATCGGTAACACTTTTTTACGTTTACTTTTTCTCGAACTTTACATACCACCCAGCCAATCTTGATTTTTTGTGCGCCTAGTTTGTGCCTTGCCTGTTGTACTGGGAGACTTATCTCCGCCTTCTGTGTACCTGCGTATGCCCTCTTTACATGTTTTATTAAATCGACGCAGAAGAGATTCAGTTCTTTAATTTGTGAGCGAATGGCCTCGACTATGTCATCCTTCGTTGTGATTTCGTCCAAATCGCGAATTTCAATAGTTAACTCATGAGTCAGAGCTCTAGTCTGCGCCTGGTCTCCTAATATCTGTCTATTTTCTTCCGGTATTCATGAATACTCCCTGTTTGTGCTCTTCTTAGCTCGAGCAACATCTCTCCCTTGGCAGTCTTTCTTATCCTCGACACGTTTTCTCCAAGCTGTTTCATGTTTCCATCCTTTTTGACCGCTCTCAGTCTGTCACTGTAGGACATATCTCCAGTTTTTGCTATGACTAGAGCATCCGGTCGTGGTGGCTGCGGTAGCTTGGCATTTTCCTTCTTCGCTTTTTTGTTTTTGGGGGTTTTGTATTTTACTGCAACCCAAGCTTCGTTTCTTGGTGTTCCTATTTTCCCTACACTAGCTGGAATCTCGCATATTTCCCTTACGCTCTCCTTTTCCTTTTGCAGGTCTTCACCCTGCGACCTTTTGGTCCTTTTTGGTGGGGTGTTTCGCGTCGCTTTGCTCAGCTGCTCCTAACCTGGAGGCAGACGCTGCGCAGTAAGCCGCTCAATCTGAGTCAGACGCTTTCGGAGTTTTGTTGGTTTGACACTTATTTATGGGCGGTGTCGATTCACCCCATCACAGAAACTTCGTAGGGCAGATATAGCTTTTTAGGCTATACCCTCCATCTCTGCAGCTTTGGTTGGGGACTGCTTATTGAATATTTGCAGCTAACCTTCATATCTGGAGGCCATTCAGCTATCCGCCACCTGCTGACCCCCACAGTAGCATAAGCTAGCCTTGTGTTTGTGATTATGTGTGTATATGCGCATATGTGCTAAAAGAGCGTTCAGTGGCTGCTGAAGTACAGGGAGCAGGGAAAATACGTACCTCAACCCTACTCAGCAATTTGGACCTGTAGAGTCCTCCACCAAATTATCGGGTCCATTTCAAGGACTTTCTTCCATATAAATGTTTTGTTCCATAATCCCTGTTTAGCTCTATAATTGGTTAAACCAACACCAACGTCAATACTGTGCGATTGGCTCATGTCGTGTATAAACTCCATGGCATTCACTTCGTGTTCTCCTTCTAATTCTATGCCTTGCAATCTTGGATTTAATAAATATGCAGCATAATGAATGGATTTCAAACAATTATTTGTTCGCCTAACTACAGCATTTGTAATATCTTCTTTGTAAAGACTTAATATCTTTGAACGCCAAGTTTGAAAATTGTATCTGTTATAGATTCTAGTAGTTTTGTACTATTTTCTACCATGGTTCAGAAATTTAAATACAATCAGTTTGATTTTGGGTGCGTTTGACAAAAATTTAGTGTTGTCGATTATATGCATAAATTGCGTGCAAAAAGAGACATTAGAACGTGATGCTGTTGCAAGTGTTACCAAAAATTCACGCAGAACGTTATACTTTGACAAATTTGCAACACTGCTCCGTGATTGCCATCTCGAACGCACCCTTTATTTCGCCTGAAATAGTGGCATCTTCGTGAATTGCTAATGTCTGTAATGCAAATTTGGATTTTTTTTTAACTTTTTTACGCAGTGCAGTAACTGCCTCAGCGAGTTTTCCCTTACAACTTACAATTTTAATGTTTCACTTGAACCTTTTTTTACAATCCGAGCTAATAAAGCGCTCATACTTTGGTTTCTTTTTTTTTGCTTTTATCGTATCTGTGGCAATCGATATAAGCGCATTAATAGGTTCAAGTTTTAAGCAATCTTCGCATAGGAAATTCAATGTATTGTGCTAAACATCTCAGCGGTATTATATGTGCATGAATTTTTAACTATCTGAAATGCTCCCTGAATATAATTTGTGTTATCTCCGATAAGTGTTAAAAATGTTATCCTCTATACACGTTTATAACTTTGATTATTTATTGAAATACATATTTGTTTGTATGTCGGTTTGTCAGAGTATTAAGGCTTTTAACAAAAACAGGATCGGGTTTTGCAATAATAATAAGTTGATGATACATTCATTGCGCTGATTGCTCCAGCCATCACACGGCAAATGTAAATCATTTATAGACTTCAGTTCGTCTGTAATTTCACTGACCATATATAAATAGTTTCCAAATGTGTTGTGTAGATAGCTTTTCTAGATGGTAAATTATAAAGTGGTTGCAAATCGTCAAAAAATCGTACCCACAGCGGATGTTCAACGATGGAGAAAAGGGAACCAGTAACAAATATTACCTTCGGTAAGAGCTCGTCTAGATAAAGTGTTTTTCCTGCTAAAACTTCTGATGTAGTCATAATAATAGAAGTTGTATCCGTCAGAAGTGTAATCCTGTGATATTTCATGATTTGATTCATCTTGTAAGGACACATTTCCGGCAGTTGTGCTAGTAACAGCTATTTTCCGTAGTTTGTCTAGTTAGTCTATAACAATTTAACAAATGGCTGGTCATCTTGCTGACATTGCCACATTGGTAAACTTTTTCACAGTGTTTGCATTTTACTGTTTTACTGGTTGCCGAACGAAAAAAGTTCTTCTACACATCAGTATTTTTCTTTCTGGGCATGATGTGATCTAAGGAAAAAAGTAAATGTAATAGCATAATATGCATAGAAATAGAAATAAAGAATAGAATTGTTATACAAGCGACCACACGTGATCTTATTTTCCAGTGTTCTAGAATAATGCATTACGGAAAGCTGTTGACATTATAATTGAAGCCCCCTATTTCGATTTTCAACTCAAATGCATTTTAGTTGAAGTTTTGAAATTAGATATCACCTCAAACCGTCAAAAAAAAGTTTAGTTGAAGTGTTGCTAAACTGTTGTAGTGTTACGGTTTTCAACTCTGTGCTAGTGTAGTATTTTACATAAAATTTTAAATTATTTTAATCATTATTTTGTACAAAGACATAAAGAGATGAAAATTTGTTGAATCTCTGAAGAAAAATCCCGAAGCTGGACGAGGTAAGCTATAATTTGGAAACAGCAAAAATAATATTATGGGACCGTGGAACCGTGTTTCGACTTATGAATCTGCAACAAACATTATTCAAAAGCCATTTAATAGTCAAAAAAACTATGGCTTACTTGGTGTTAGGAAGTTCCAATGGAATTGGAATCAACATTTTTGTAATCGTAATATAAATCAAAACTAATGTTCATTTTATTAAATTTTCTTCTTTTCACAAGCAATATCTGAATTTAATTGTTTTGATTTATCGTTTAAAAATTTTCAGCTTTTTAATTTTTTTTAAGTTGGCAACACCAATGAAATTTCGACTGGAAATAGCTGAAGTTCGAAATACCAAACAAGAGTAGGGGGAATCTGAAGCTGAATTGCGTCAACCGTAATTGGGGAAAAAAACACAAGTGATAGCTATGATTTTACATATTTGATAAGCACTGTTTAGTGCTTTATTTGGCGCATTGCTCAAATAGCTCAAATGCTTAGTTGAGCAATAATTCGTAAAATTATACTTACAGAAATGGAAAACATTCAAATTAAGAATCCTTATGTTTAGTAGACTTCAATTCATTTGAACGTTCGTCGTGTAATAACAATAATCTTGTGCTTTTGTAAGTTTGATGGATCTAAAAAACTAATTATCAACGTATAAGAATGCAGCTCTAAGGGACAATTATAATCATAAGTTTAATCATTTTAATACATCAATATACTTTGGAATTTCTTAAAAAATATTTTTCAATAAAAAAATATTTAACGAAGTACATATGTCGGAAAAGTAGGTATTCATAAAGTATTTAAAAACAATATTTTTGAAATAAATTTTGGAGAATTATGCAATTAGAAAAATTCCTAAACCCCACCAGAATAATAAAAATCATATTTAATAATTAGTTTTGAGTAAAAATAATATATAAATACAAACAATAATTATTTTCGAGTTTTATTCTTTTTTTTTCAAAATGAAACTCATTTCTATATCACAGAGTTTCTATGAAGGCATTTGCTAACTTCGTTCCATATCCATTTAGAACAAATCTCAAGGATCAATGTTAAGGCATTGCCACGAATACGTCCTGGTTTGCATGACTATTGCAATTAATTGGATCCAAAACCTGAAAGTTGTTTGAAAAATAGTATCTGTCGGTGAATACGGGTGTAGCTGCAACGAGTTCATCGAAATAATAATTTAGTTTTTTTTTGGTAGGTGTTATTCACAAAAGAGAAAAGGAAGATACTTTTGTTCCAAAGGGCATGCAACGAAGTTATGGCGAAGACGGACATATAGTACAATACATATTGTAGTATGCTACAGAAACCATATGTGTGTCGACCGTTATTTCAATTTTTGTTCAAAGCAAATGGAGTTCTGTATTGAAGTAGTGTTCAAGAAACCATTGAAATTATGTGGTGTTCTGTAATGAACTACGATGAATTATAATGAACACAGCCAAAGTTTAAAGCTCTTCTGTTAGCTTCTTGCTAACCATCTGTCAAATACATTGCCATTGAGGTTGGCAATGTTCTTAGGTGGGGACTTGTCGTGAATTGATATTATTTATATATATGGAATATACATTTTTGTTTTTGCACTTTGAACTTAAGAATATAAAGAAGAAATACATGCAGAAAATTTGAACTGAATTACCTATTTACATTGTGTTTTTACTTCACTTAAAAAAATGTGTCGGGTGAAAGCAGACTTTATTGGCTATGTGAATATATGAATATGTATATTTTTAATCTGGAGGACCATCTCTATCCGCCAATACCCATTTTATCCACGAAATCATGAGACGGTATTCTAAAGTTTTTCCGGTTACTTTAACAATAATGAATCCATACATACTGTAATGCCACATTTAATAAATGTACTTAAAAAAATTTATATTGTGATATACTCGTACATATATTAAACATATATATTTTTATTTCAGGTTTGGGCAAATAACTTCGATGTAATGACACATGGAAAGACGACTCTAAATATGGATTTGAAAACGTCAGAAGGGCGTGAACTAGCACGAAAACTTGTTCAAGTTCATGATGTACTGATTGACCCATTTAGACCTGGTGTATTGGAGAGTGTTGGCCTTGGTCCTGATGTCTTGTGCACGGAAAATCCCAGGTTAATATACGCTCGTTTAACAGGCTTTGGCCAGTATGGCCCATTAGCGAAACGAGCAGGACATGACATTAACTACCTAGGGATTTCTGGTGTTTTGTCTATGCTGCGTTCTCACAACAATATACCATCTCCACCTTTAAATATCTTGGCAGATTTTGCTGGTGGAGGTTTACTATGTGCAATGGGAATTTGCTTAGCACTTTTAGAACGCCACCGTTCTGGTTGCGGACAAGTAATTGATGCCTCAATGTGTGAAGGAGTGGCATATTTATCCTCATGGTTATTTTTGTCTCGTTCCCTTCCCATATGGAAGAGTCAATCAGGTCAAAGCATGTTGGATGGAGGTGCATATTTTTATGATCTATACGAAACAAAGGATGGGAAATATATGACAGTAGGAGCTCTGGAACCAAAGTTCTTCGAACTTTTTAAAAGTAAATTGGAATTGCCTGAACTCTGCCAATTTCCCGAAAATCAATATGAAAAAGATATTGCTATAGATTTAGTAAAACAAGCATTTTTGAAAAAAACGCAAGCTGAGTGGTCGGATATATTTGAAAATAACGATGCTTGTGTTTATCCAGTTGTGGAATGGGAAGATGTAGCCCAGCACAGGCATAATAAATTTCGTACAACCTTTCAACGATTGAATGATAAGTGGGTGCCTGTACCGGCCCCCTTACTGAGTAGAACCCCTGGAAGCCTGAAAAGTATGACTACTCATTCAGGAATTGAAAACGTTTTAAAAAATGTGGAGTTGAACAAAGGCAACATAAAAACAAGCGATACTTTGTTTCCAACGAAAAAATCAAAAATGTAACTAAAATTTATATGGAAGGTTATGTTAATTTTTATAGATTGACAATTTAAAATAGCGTGATCAAAAATCTTAAATATAAGCAACATATATAATATAACATTCCGTACTCCAGAATTAATTATTGCTTACCAGAATTAAAATGCCTAAAATCTTTGTTTCTAATTAAAAAATCAAAAATATATCTAAAATGTATGTGGAAGATTCCTAAAATCAGTCTAAGAGAATTGTTAAAAAAAGGGAATTGGTAAAATTATGCTTTATTTTTGCATTACCAAGTTAGTACATGCAATATTCGGATTTTGAAATTTGAATCCAATATTTGAAATATCAAAAAAGCTGGCAGAAGTCGAAAACAATACAATTTCTTGCATAATAAGTCGGAGTACTCATGTATCTACCGTTAAGATCTGGGCAAATGCTGGTGTTAAAGTGAGCTTTTCTACTATTCTAAGGGTGCTAAGGAATGCTCTATATGTCCCTCATTAGTGCGATTCTTTGTACCAGGTTACGGGTTTGTATCTCAATTTTTACTCCAGTTACAGCTTACCCAGACAGACGAACGGACAAATAGTCACTCGGATTGCAACTCGTTTAATCGTTCTTATCATTTATATATACATAACCTTTTATCTTAATCGATTAGTTGTGATACAAATAACCGTTAAGTGAACAAAACTATTATACTCAGTAGCAACATGTTGCAAGAGTATAAATATGGAAAAAAGGGTAAAAACGAATTGTCGATACATTTAGTATTGATTCGTTAATAATCGCTAGAAATTTTAGAATTTTAGCCTCTTTAGTTTTGATAGAAATTAATGAAAACTATTTAAGCCGGAAGTGTGCTAACTTGATGAAGCGCAGTGTATTAATAAATTTTAATATTTTGGATATGATTGGTTTGTTCGAGGTATTTTATTAAAACGGCAATACTGCTGCACTGATGTTTGCAGATGATCAGATGATACTTTTCTGGTATTCGGAATTTCGTTTGCTGCTCAGTTTTATAATAATAACCCAACGATTACCCGCCCAACCGACGCGAGGGGCGCAATCCGCTTACGTGCGGAATTAGCCGAGTCAGAAAAGGCAAGAGAGTTTTTAAGTGTTGAGATCTTAAATTGCTCAGCTACACTAACAAAAATTTCAACAGCTAAGATTTATAGTAACAATATAATAAATTGTTACATTTTCATTCATTAAGAGAAAACAATAAAGTCTTTTTAATTTTGAAAAGTGATTCAAATGTGCTGGAATGAGATTTAAAATCGTGCCATATACGGGGAAAAGAACTGCAAACTGTTCCATTCAATATTTTCACTAAGAATATTATGCCAAGCATTTCCTTACGACTAGAAAGTGTAGGTAGATTAATAAGTTTTAAACGACTAGTGTATGGAGGTAGACTTACCCTAGAATCCCATCGGAAATGCGCTAAGGCAAAAAGTAAAAATTGTTTTTGAACAGACTCTAACTTGTCAGAATGGATTTGGTAGTTAGGGTTCCATACAACAGAGCCATATTCCAATATAGGTCTAACCAAAGTTGTATAAAGTGTTTTAGAAACGGATCTCTAAATTCTTTAGACCAACGTTTAACAAAACTGAGGACAGCTTTTGCTTTCAAGACCATGGTGTCAATATGAAGACAAAAATTAAGCTTAGGGTCCATATTAACTCCCAAATCAACATAGTTAAAAACTAGCTCCAGAATATGGTGTTTTATTACGTAAGAAGGGGGGTGCACAGATCTACGGGAAAAGCACATCGTCTTACATTTATTGAGATTCAATGGCAAATAATTTCTATCACACCATGCAACCATATTGTTTAAGTCTGTTTGCAACAGACACCTTTCCTCAGTTGAAGGATGATTTAAAAAGCTTTACGTCGTCAGCGTATAATAAAATTTGTGAGAATTCAATTACTGAAGAGATCGTTAATAAACAACAAGAACAGAATCGGGCCAAGATGACTACCTTGCGGAACACCTGAAGAAACATTAATTGTATCTGAAGGAGTATCCTCAAATATCACTCGTTGTGTTGTACTATGAAGTTAGGAAGCTACCCATTGAAGAAATCTTGGCTGAACGCCCAGCAGATCAAGTTTATGTATGAGAACCGAGAGGTTTATTTTATCGAAAGCTTTGCTAAAGTCTGTGTATATAACATCCGTATGCTTATGTTCCCTAAAACCCAATGATACATGGTTTACAAATTCAAGCAAGTTTGTTAGAGTTGATTTCCCTTTACGAAATCCATGCTGAGATGAGGAAATTAACGGAGAAATCGAAAAGGTTATATGGTCAGTGATGATAGCTTCAAAAAGTTTCGGTATAACTGATAGTTTTACGATACCTCTATAGTTTTCAATGTTGGATCGAAAACCACTTTTATGCAAAGGAATTATACATGACTGTTTCCATATTGAATATACCCTGTTTGAGAGAGGAATTAAATATCCTTGTCAAAGGCAAGTTAATATATTTGGCACTATTTTTTAGGAAGCATGAGGGTATGATGTCTGGGCCGTAACTAAGAGATGGTTTTAACTTATTTAAATTAAGTAGGACGTATTCTTCAGAAATAATTGGAGCGTTAATTAAAGTATTCGAACACTGCACGTGCTGATAAGAAAATTTTATACTTTATTTAAGTAATTATTATAACATTTTTTGTTTAGGTCAAAACATTGTCGACGCAATACAGAATATTTAGAATAGTCGACAAGTCAACCGGCTTTTTAAAATTTTTTAAAGGCTCGAGTTTTTCTGTTTATCAATTTATGTAACTCTTTCGAAAACCACGGACTTCTACTTTTACTTTTATTAACAATTACTATTGGAACATACTTTTTAAATAATTTCGTAATAATGTTATTAAAATAGAGACACATCAATTCAATATCACCATTATAATTAGGCCATGATATTAGAGAGATAGAATATAGAAAGCTCTGTATTTAATTTTTAAAATTGCTTTTGCAAGTTGAACGAGTAGGAAACAGAAGTTTGATAATTATTATAGCTCATGATTTCGAGAGATATTTCAAAGCGGTGATATGAGTCTTGGTAGAACAAGATAATTACTCTGAATACGGAACACAAGATATCAACGTATACTAATCTAAGCATTTACCAATTTATTCGGAATCAAATTATTTGGTTCAGACCCAACTCATACATTTTTCGAACAACTCATGAAAACATGACCGATTGCAATACGGTCGATATAGTCATGCAAAGCTTCCACGAAGCACACGGTAAATTGAAATCTCCTAATACGATTATTGAATCTGCATTATTTGGCAATCGAAGTAGCACTATTTATTAAAGAAGCATGCTGCATATATAGATAAGTAAAATGTGGTGGTATATAAGAAGGGTTAAATAAATAAAGCAACTATTAACATAGACTGTAATATTAAATTCAAATGAGTCGGTTTTGAACAAAACATCTTCAGATGATTCAGGCAAATAGAACACTCACCGAATCTGTTCAGTGATCATATCATTTTTTTCTTCCATATTTATTATGAGTTTTGTTTTTGGATTAAACGTTTTATATTTATTTCAATAATAACTTCACAAGAAGAAAAATGCAACGCATTTGACAGCTGATAATCTCTTTGGCATGTAAATTTAATAAATTACAAATTTTCTTAATAAAAGATTATTTGATATAGTTTTATAATTTAACAGAAATGCTAATAGCGCTGTTGGGAAGTTCATCGGTGATTTAATAAATTGCTTTGCTTTGGTCGCTCAAAACATCTTTTATTATTAGCTTGTTCGCGCCGTGGTTTCAAATTCATAAGCACGGACAATTTTAAAAATGTACAAATAAAAATAAAATTTACAAATTTTATAACTTTAATTAGGTGTTGGATGTGTTAGAAGGAATTTGCGGAAATATTTACAATTAGGTAAGAATTTCTAATGTTCTGAAATGCCAATAAAATTGTAAGAAACCTTGATTTTATTAAGTACGCCTAATTTTTGAGAAAAAATTATAAATCGTCTACCTTGTAACTTACTTTGAGTTCAGTCACTGGATTGTTAAATAAAAGTCCTAATTTAATGGCTATACACTTGTCTTTAATTTTAATCCAAACATTTAACGCCTTATACTATTTGTTGCACCGAAAAAATTCGTGTTTTCATAGACAAAGAGGTTTTCACGCGAAAACTTGTGTTTCATCCATATAAAATCTGTCAACGAAAACACAGTTTTCGCTGAAAACCACTTGACATTTTACTCATTATAATCGGTGCCTGCTCTTGTTTAATTTAGAAGACATATTTTGCCAGTCTAAATGTAGTTGACAATTTGTTTACATTCCATAATTGGCTTAAACGTACGCTACAAGAAACTGCTGATGGGTTCACCAATATACTCACATTTGATATGTAGTACTGTTAATTTACGTTTGCATTTTTAAATTTAGAACTATCCACTGATTGGAAAGACGTACGCAGAGCGAGGAGGAGATGGCATCAAGTGAAAATTTATTTTTATATTTTCATATTTTATTATATTTTTGTTGCATCCTTTATATATTTAAGTATATTATATTTTCATATTTTTTCTATTTTTGTTGCATTCCTTTATATTTAAGATTATTATAACTAATTTTGATTAAAAGTTTGAAATTTATTAAAGAATAAAAATTATACAGTATTATCTACTGCGCAAAAGAATTTTCACTTTAATAGCGTTTCAGTCATAACTGACAATTTTCAGCTATGACGGATTTATGGTCAGCAATGATCCGCAAAACAAAAAAACAAACAAAAAAGAAACAAGGATCTTAAGAAAATCATAGAAACTTTGTTCTGCGCGCTGACAAATTTTTAGCTATGACTGTCATATACTCATCAGATGACCGTCACTGTTCTGTAGGGTACATAACAAATGTAAACAAATAGATGTGTGAACTGTCAATGAAAACTCATCGAAAACCCACAATGTCGGTCAGAAGGACTTGGTTCCACATCCAAAATTGTGTTTTCAAGAGGATTTCATTCGGTGCATAGTTATCTACTCATTATCCGATTTACAACTTTTATACTACGTTCGCAGGACAAAAATTCGTGTTTTATAGACAAAAGAGGTTTTCACAAGAAAACTTGTGTTTTCATCCATACA